GGGGGGGGGCCAATCAGGAGCCGGTAATTGGAGTGCTTCTTGTTTGGTGTTGAGGACTTGGGGCCAAGTTTTCTGCTGGCTTGCCATAATTCAAAACCACTCGAGTTCAAATGCAGGGATTGCGATGACTCTGTACAGCCTGGCTCCAGCAACGTTGATCTGATCAACTCTGTCCCATCAGCGCCATCCTCGTGTGCGCTCCATGTCCTATTTCACATCCTCTCTTCCAATACCGCTCATGTCCATGTCCGACCCTCTTGTCGCCGGCTCTCTCAATCCCGCCTCGGCACGTTTGTCAGTTCCAAGATGTGCCTCTATTCGGCCAGTACCGACGTCGACGGTCCTCGCGTCCGCAGACTGCCAGTCTGGGGCGGTGGGTGGTTGCTCGGGAAGGGGGAGGTTGGCTTGCACCTCGGCAATCTTGTCGGCCTTGGATTGGGGCATTCTGTTTTGTCTTTTCTGGAATGTGCGTCTGCTGGTTATTATCCAAGGTCTTACGTTAACAGGGGCGTTGAGCCGCTGATCTCGTGACGACTTACATGGTCGCTTGATGATGCTCCTCGGGACGGGGGCGGTTGTTGGAGTCAAGACCAGTTTCTCTTTCCTTACCGCGGTGCCGGTTTTTCATACAAGTATAAAAGGGTAGGTTGTGGAAAGACGTGCCGAAAGTCTTCTAATATTTCCCTTTTTCCGCGGGTTTATATACTGCATGCAGGTGCAAATGTGGCGTTTCCATATGGCCTTGGCCCCTCCGCTGACGTCAAGAATGCGTCGTGTCTCCAGAGAATTGCGGCGGATGCTTCCGCGATGGGCGGAGAAGAGCTCCGGAAGGGCCCATTGTTTGCTTCAAATGGCGAGACGTCGAGATTGTCGGCCAATTGAGGGACCCTTTATATATAATATAGGTATAGTAGATAGAGCTTATGTAATCTAGTTAATTACTAAGCATAAGATAATAGGGATTCTTAAGGTATAATAGAAGTAACTTTAGATATAGTATAAAATTATATATAATAGTATATATTAAAGAGTGTAGTTATAAAGGCTTAATTTTCTCTCTATCTAGTTAGAGGGGGAAGAAGAGTTATTTATAGGTAAATTCTATAGTAGAGCTGCTAGATTAAGTAAATATAGTAGCTTTAGTAGCTTAAAATAACTTTTATAGCTATTTTCTTTTATAAAGTAAATTAGCTTTTATAGCTTATTAGTCTTTTTATTAAATTCTAGCTAGTATTTCTCTTTTAACTTTATTTATATATATAAAGAAATATAAATATAAAGCATATTAAATCTTTATATATAAAATATATGTAAATATTTCTTGTAGGCAATTTATATGCTGCAGTTATTTCCCTTGTTTTTATAGGTGTTTTTTCTAGTAGGCAGTATCT